ACGATTGGATCTGATTTTACCCAATCACTAATGTTTGGATGTGACATATGTAGTGCGCCAGCTCAACCATGGAGGAAGCTACGCCAAGAAGCTAGTGTGTAAACAACCATCCCCTACTGGGAAGAGAAAAGTACTGAGCTGAATGAGGTGACTGTAAATGAGAGCTGCAGGCTTTGTGAGACAAATTTTATTTAATTTGGAAGCCTTGTCAACACCGACTGGCTTCATTCACTTCCTCCGCTGTCATTGCTAAACTACAGGCAGACTAAAACAGTGCAGAAAATCAAAGTCATCATTCACAACTCCTCCTTCTGTTCGATGATTGGCCCGGTAGAAATTCTACTGGCGAAATCCAAGTCAATGGGAGAAAGACGGCAATGGCCAGGCTAGCATTAAGCACATCTAAGCTCATTTTTCTTATTTAAATCTGTGCATCCAAAGTCAAAAATAACTTGGGCAGAAAGCAGAACACAGCATTCATGCTGTTGACCTCTTTTTGTTTACCTTTTTGTGCGTCAGATAAATGAAATGTAAAAACCCATCAGCTATTTTAGGGACATAAATATGGAATGGATCTTTGCTCTGCGGTGGTCATAGTTGGATAGCTTAGGTCAGATTGGTTTTATGAGAATTCTCACACTTTGGAATAAACTTACAACTGAATCTGTGGAGAGCAGAGAGAGTGGGAAAGATAAAAAGATGGCAATTGGAAGGGTGTGATGTTCAACAGTCACTCTTGAATTGGCAGTTTTCTGTAGCTGCCTCACATCKGACCGTTTGTCAGACAAATCCAACGGATATTTGAAACTTTGCARACTGATTTTTATTCTGCATGCAGCTGATAGTTTCGCTTTCCTCCTCCACACCTTTAACACGAAACAGGAGAAAAAATAGATTCAACTTTACTACTCTTCAATAATTCACCTATTTGATATCTATGATAAAATGTGTAAGAACAGGAATAAAAGCTTGGGAATGTGTTATAGTAAAATAACAGCTTAGTGGGGCARGACTCAGAGGAGTGTATCACTTTAATCACTGCTCTGCAAAAACGAGGTCAATCTGCCATTAACCCCAGCAGGTCTTACAGTTACAGCCTACTTCAACTTCACTGCTAAACTGTCAGGAAAAGCTCACAAAAACATGAAAAACACATTTGTTTTTGGAGTTTAATGTTCCATTCTGTGGTAAAACATAATGACAAAATGTTAAAAAATAAAACCGTCAGAATTTGAGGAAACACTTCAGCTTCACACTCTGCCTCACAACATTTGAATGAGGCTATAAAACCTGTTTTTATCATATAAACTCTAACTTAATGATTTCACTGATCAGACCAATTACTTGTCCAAATTTATCCAAATCCAAAGAAAGAAAAAACAAAACTTTCTAAATCTTTCTAACAGGATTTGGTACAGGTCTTAATGAGCTCTGTGAGGACTTGCAGAGTTCCAGCTGAAAAGTCTGCAGGACAGAGGAGGTGTTGTGCTTTTAATTTGTCTGTCATCATCATGACAAGCCAATTAGTTGTATAATTTAACATCTAAACTCAAACATTTTTGTGTGGTACTCTTGTTCCTTAGGGATCCCAAGATATGAATGAAAACATGGAGTGGAGATATGGCATTTCCTTCTCTTTCAAATAGCCCCCACCCCTTTCTGGGTGAAAAATAAATGGTATAAAACTGCTTGTGGTGAACTTAAAKGGGGCATATTATGCATTATCTCCCAGTTCTGCGTAGATAGACTATCTTTATATTCTGTTTGTATCATATTTTTCCACCTGTGCAGTTAAGGTCTGGATTTACCAACTCCAAGTTGGTGGTCTCCATTCTCTGGCTCTGGGTCAGACTCTGGCTCCARCATGTAAGGCTGAATGGACAAGTTTTCTKTTGTTGACATATTTTAATTCATTTGTAAATAGAAAGTTTATGCGCCACTTGTTATAAACCCCTCTATTAGGTTACATTGGACCAGTTTAGCTGGAGGGGGTGGGTTGTGAAGTGCCTCCTTTGGATTTAAGAAACATCCTCAAACAAGTTGAGCTGAGACATTAAGCAAAGGGATGAAAGAGGGGTTTGTGGAGTTACAATAASGAGGAAATCAGACCAAAGCATTGCAGTTCCATTTTATATAGACCCTAATTAAATAATTTGAATGTGAAAAAGAAGAATAAACATTTTTGTTGCATTTTACTTAGCAAAAATAAAAAACAGTACCAATTATAAACTTAGTTTGAGCTTTAGAGTCACCCAGATAAGATTTAAATGTTAAACAATARGTCTTCGCTTCTTAAAAATGGTGTCTGGATGTCATGGGTTTCCATTATTATTTTAAAGTAGGATTTTACTTGTTTTTTTTTTTTGTTTTGTTTTGTTTTTTGACTTAGGTAAAAGATCTAACCACTTTTGCAGCTTCTGGTAAACTTTGGGAAGTTGGGGTGCTTAGGGTGTTGCAGCACCCCTAATGGCTGCTAGGAGACATGCATGTACAAACACAGAAATTATCAGTGCTGCACATATTTAAATAYGTGTAATATTTTAACATTATTGGTTTAGTCTATAAATCAGCACTGTTATTGTAGAGCTGTGTACAAAATTGTAGAGCTGCCTAAAACCCACAGAAACAGTGAGCAGATTAGCATCAGGTCATTATTTCAGTTCAACTATGTTTACTGTACATTATATCCAAAATATTCAGAATGTTTTTGATGTCCATATTCAAATAATACAACATGCACTGCTTGATATCCTGCCTATACAATACTTGATGGCTTTGTAGGAGTGTATTTTGGAGCACTTCCCCACAATTACTGGTTAACCCATTTTGAAGGATGCTAGTTAGCTTGCTAAATATTAATGATTTGATTAGTTTACTGAACCTTCAACTCTCAGCGGACAATCAAGATCAAGCAGTTTAAGGAGGGTGGGATATTTTGCAAAATTTACTTTTTTGAGCTTTATGTCATGTTATATCATTCAGCATCCCCAGAGTGTTGCTCATTTCTGCATTTTATTTTGGAGGCATTAGGAGCTGCCCAAATGATCTCTGGTACAAAGCTCCATCTATTTGCACATAGCTCCTCCCTGGAGCTYAGTCTGCAGCCAAGCTCCCGCCCCACAGAGCACCCCTCCCCCAAAGCATTGTTATGATGTGCTGAAGTGGGAGTGTCAGAAATGGTAGGAGATTCTTAAAGAGACAGAGGCCAATTTCAAGATGTTAAGGCCATGATGTGAAAACCTATTTTTTGTTTAATATATACAGCCTTTTTACAACAACTGAAGGTAACATAGTTACTTGATTGTGGTATAGAATTGCAGTACGGAAAATACATAATACCCCCAATTTAATAAAGAAAACCGTAACAAGGGGAAAAATATGTTATAATCACAGGTATTCATCATATATCTGTAAATTTAATTTAAAATCCTTTTGGGATCAATAAACTATTTTTGAATTTAATTTGGTGTGACACATCAAACCGTTAGGTGGTGCTGTTTGTCCAATAGGATGAACTTTAATCCATATTTTATGAGTTTTTCCACTATAATGCTGGTGTTGATTGGCAAAGAAATTAAATCACTACTTGACTGACAGCTTTAATAGTTGAACACTTAAAAGCCTCCATCTAGAACTGTAATCTTATGTAACACAGTTTTCTTAGCAAACACTTCAGGAGTTACATTTACCGCCACTCAAAGCCGAGGAGTTGTTTTCACCCATGGTTGTAGGAGTAATAAGAAAGAGGCTGAAGGCTAAGTACCTGGTTGTGTTCCTCCAATTKGTCATTTGTAGGATTGTTTTAATGGAGAACATAAATGAAAACAACACAGAAGGAACTAAATCTCCACTTGTTTCCGATTGCCAGTGGTGGGCAGCACTAATCTAAAAATTAGTTCCACTAGCCCTAAAGCACTAACTCAAATATTTAGGTCCCCTAATTCTACAGCACTAATGCACTGAAAGTTTTAGCAAAAGCTAATTTTAAAGCACTAAAACAACCCAGTCAACCCACGAACATTCAACAGACAACGTGAGTCACATGTTGCCGTGTTGCTCTCTTAAGTCTTATCATTGACATTCCACAGCTGTATTTGGGTTCAAATATTGTCAATATATTGTCAGCTAGTGGATAAGTGACACACATATGAACAAAATGTGTGACAGCTTTCACCATCAGCTGTTAACATTAGCAAGTGATAATCCACTAATGAATTTAAAAATTAGCGAARGCCCTAAAGCACTAATCAGGAAATTAGTTCCCCTATTAGTGATTTAGTGCTTTAGGGGAACTGTGCCCACCACTGCCGATTGCCTATAAGCTGGCATCAGCCTTGCAGCACAGCTAGCTGCTACAGGTTAGAAAATATGTTAAAAACTCCCCTGATTCATTGCTTTAAACTGAAAGCAATAACTCTTAGGATTGGTTGAGATTAATGTATTGTCCTGATGCATCTCAGTAATCCAGGTAAAAAATCAAAAAGAAAAAAATTGTATAGGTCTTCTGGACG